GGCTGGGACAGGTGTCCACATTGAACAGAATGCGAATCACTGGGCAGCAGGCCAATCGATTTAAAAGTAAAAATTAAATTAAGCCTCTGTAATAACTTTGATTAGGCTTTTTATACATTTATATTTCTCATAACTGGAAATGTTAACAACTATACACCAATACTTTTATAAAATATTATAATCTAAAAATTTTATTTAATTTCTCAAATTAAATTAAAAAATTAAATTTGCAAAGAAGATACAAAAAGTTGCCTTAATATAAATGAAAAGTAGTAACAGAGTGGATTTTAAGTTTAGGCATTTAAAAAATTTTAGGCAATAAATACAAAAGTAAAAATTAGTTACTTCCAAAGTGTTCTTAAGGTAAAATGGAAGAGAATTCCCATGCAAGAATTCTAAAACCATAGCTAACTTTACAGTTCATCAATTCGATGTACCTTGCCCTCTCATTTAACTTATTTGTAAATACTTTCCCAAGGCTACCTAAACACTTCCTAATTGGTTAAATATGCTTCCTACATTAATTCCTGTTAAAATTATAGAAATTAAAGGTCCACCTTTGATTCTGAGCAGTGATTGATAATACTTTCAAAGTAACTGATGTTTCAGAAAAGGTGTTTATCAGGTTCTTAAAATATTTTAAAAATGGCTCAAGGAACGATTTAAAGCCCTTTTACCTTGAACATATTGACTATCTTGGATTTTGTTGGACAGATTTAGTTTTCTCCTTCTGAAACTCTTCTCTTACTCAAATAACTAAAGAACCTAAGATGTTATCAATAAAAAAATTTAAATTTACTTCTTACACATTTGGAAACAGATCAAAAGAACATGTATTCCAGGCAGTGTAAGTAAAGTTATTCAGTAAAGCTTTTATCCCTCCTTTTCTCTTGAATGTCTGTGTGAGTGTGTGTGTGCATGTGTGTAACAGGTAATTTTTCACATATCTTAATTTTCCAAAGAATGGGATCCTCAATAAAAAACATTAGAACATTCCTAGAAGGAATGATCATTTTGATTACACAGCTCAAGAAACAAATGATTACTGAAAAACACTTCAAAGATAGCAACAGATAAGTGTTAGGTTATTTAGCTTTTCAAACCTTAGTTAAGACAGGGACATTACATTTAATTTAGGAAAAAACAACTTAATCCTCAGAAAGGAAAATTTTCAGAATAACAAACCAAAATGTATACAACACAATCATGATTATGTAAAAAAATGAAGGGAAAACCCCCACTTTTGTATAATATTAAAACAAAGAACAGCTTAAGATTTTTTACTGTCATCAATAAAAGCAGATTTCCTAATTTATTTAGATATCAAATGTCTATTCACTAAAATATTTTGGTTTTTAGTCTATAATAATATAGATTTTTTTAACCAATATTAGCCTATGCTTATAAATCATCTTCCACAGTAGCTAAATTCTTTATAGAAAATTGAATAGAAAAATGAGAATAAAAACTTCAAATAAGAATCTCCATCCATAGGTTTCTCTAATTCAAACTGAAATAAAGATTTTAAGTATATCTTATCCTTAGACAATTTTCTGTAAATTAGTATAAGTTAATGGTAGCTTCAGACAAAGGATGTTCAACAGGTAGTATTTCAAAAAAAAAAAAAAACCAAAAAATCCAAAACAAAACTCAATACAACCAATTTGACTTAGATATTGTGCTGTTGTGCCCTATTTAAACGTGACTCTTCAGGGAATTATAGATTTTATATTTGTGTATCTTAGAGTATTTTCTAATCAGACAAGTAGCTAGTTGTGTAAAACCAAACATGAACAAAATTTTATACCACCCTATGGGAGAGGGAAAAAAAATCACAATACCAGCACATTTATTTGGGTTTACAATGAAGTAATTATAACCTGAAGTGTTCCAACAACCTGAATACCTCAGTGATAAAAACAAAACAAGAAAAAATAGTTTCCTTCATTTTTACAAATATTGAATTTATTGATATTAGTAACTGGTTTGCCAAATGGACAACTACTCAAGATCTATCTCACTTATTTTAAACACACAGTATAATTCTGACTAGTTATAGTTAGTGTAACCCTCTTAAGCCAAAAAATGATGAAATTGTAAGATAAATTTAAAAGGTTCTGTAAGTATTAATGGCATTCTGAAGCCTCTAGACAGAAGATTGTTTGGGAGGGAGGCTTTCTCTTCCCCAATGACAGCATAATCCTTTCCGATCAATTTTGATCTAACAGTGGTTCATGAGATTAATTTTTTAATGAGTTCTTAGAATGCTGAAATTGCTTCCAAAATCAGAAACTGCAAGATGATGTCCTCAAGCACTACTACATCAATATGATGCAGTTATGGAGGTATTTACAGAGGGGTGCTGAGGAGAGCTCAGTTATGAACATGAGTGAACACCAAACAGACTACAGAATAGTAACTTGTTTGTATAGTATGGCAAGAAAAAACATTTTGTATAAGAAATCTAAAAATCCAGCTTTAACTTTAATCCATTTCTATAAATCATAAAAACAAAGGAAAATAGGCATTGATTTCAGAAACTCTATACACCTGGGGAAAATGGAACACAAGTAATATCTATTCATGATTAACCTTAATCTCAAATAAAGTATAGCTAAAAATTTACGTATTTTCAATTTTTAAAATATTGTGGAAATCTAAAACATAAGAGCCAATAGTAATTTACAACCAGTAAACACTTCCTATTAAATAACACAAATAAATTCATCTTAAAAGATACAGCCTGGTAAATCTCAGGATTTTAAATCTTTTAATGTCAAAGGCGCAAAGTCACAGCACATGTAGCATGGGACCGGCTTTAAAAATGGATGTAGATGTGAACTTTTCCATGGTGTTGGTGAGTGTGCTTTTCCCCCCAAAAAGAAATGCCTACAGCTTACAATGTTAAAGAATCTTCACCACCCTGTCTGCAATTTTCAACCAGAAGTCCTAAATGTACCTCAGCCAAACTGAATATTAGCTATTTTACAGCTTTTACAAAATGGCTGTAAAATCACATTATGGGCACACATAGCTCTTTGATCTCACTGCACAGAATTCATAACTGTTCAATAATGCTACACCATTACACCACACACCTTAAACTATTTCCATTTTTCCACAATTCCTTCCAAAATCAGTTTCCAAAGCAAAGCAATGTAACATGAAAAGTTCCTGGAGGGCTTGTTACACACAAGGACAGCACAGACACAACCTAATCTACACACGTGTCCATCTCCTGTTGAGCGTGTTTATCCCTCCTCTGCCTCCATCATCCCTGAAGGTGGATGCCCTTGAGTCATGGAAAGAAAAGGCTTCCATCACCACACCCTCCCACACCTCTGCTTGTGGTCCTCAGACCCAGATTCAGTGGAGGTGATGAAAACCAGAAGAAAAGAGCAGCTGTCCCTTTAAAATGCCCTGCTCTGTCCCATCTCCCACGTGGAACCAACATCAGCAGCACTTTCCCATTACCATCAATGTGATGCAAGAGGCACCATCCTTTTATATACGTAAACCCAGGACACCTCAGCTCCCCATGCTGTAGTGAGGATGAACAGGTGAAGCACACGTGTCAGGGAGGGAGGAGGCAAGCATCTCCCTATCCCTCCCCAAAAGGTGCTCCAGCCCTGCACTCCAGTGTCTTCGTGCACCATCACCTCCCTACCCCTCCTCTGTAGAGCCTACTTGAAAGAAAGGAGGGAGCCACCAACAAAACCTGAAGCATAAATGCGACGAAAATGCCATCTAAAGCCGGAAAGGTTTATTCTTCCAATCACACGTATTAACTCTATTAAGAAAATGGCATCACTTTTTTTCCACCCCCCGAAAAAAAACACACCCCGCAAAGATCATGAGAAGGGAGTCAGAAAATAGCAAATATACTGTTTATCTTATCTCAGATCAGTCCACATTACCAATAAGTTTAGCAGTTTCTGCACTACCACCTCCCCCCTCCCGCCCCCTGCTTCTCTTGCATCGGATTTTCACGTTTTCTCATTGTCGGTGGAGTTATAAAAGGCTTTTGCCCTTCGAAAGTTTTAAAAAATAAATAAATATTAACTCCTTGGTCCCTGCGAAGTCAAAATGGACTTCAGGGGAAAGGCGGTTCATACTTTTACCTTTAGAGAGAAAAGGGGGAGCGTCCCGGATTTTTAGGGATTTTTTGCGATTTTTTAAAAATTTTTATTTGGTTATATGCCTGAGTTCTCCCTCCATTTTGGTTGTTTATGATACTGACAACAAGCTGTCCCTGCTCGGTGCCGATCTCCTGCTCTCATTTAGCACCCCTCCCCCTCCCCCCTCGCAGCCACACACCCCGGGCTCACACCTCCCCGCAGACCCCGCACCCCGACCCCGGCTCGCCCACCTGAGGAAAGGGCAAAAACAAATTCATTTCTCCAGAAAAGAAAAACCTCTTTTGAAAAAGGGGCAAAGTTACCCCAAGTCACTCAAAGTGCCCCCCAAATATTGCCGACTGCGGGTTTCCGCCAGGCCCTTTGGGAAGCGACCTTCCCCCGGGATGTTTTGGTGGAAAATGCGGAGAGTTTACTCTCAAAACTGAATTTATATTAATTTTTCCCTTATTTTTCGGGTCTCTAATGTCTTCCGCTCTCGCTGCTGCCGCTGCCGCTGTCACAATATTCACAGCACCAGAGAGGAGGAGGAGGAGGAAAACTTTTCAAACTTTCCAGACCCTGCAGAAAGGGTGTTTTTTTTTTCCCACCGACCTCACCTTCGGGTCCCCAGCCGCATCGCCCCCTGCCCTGTCAGAAGCGACTTCGGGAGTCCTCGCAGCCCCGCGGAATTATTTTATTTTATTTTTTATTATTATTTTTCCCTCTGAGGTCCTGAGCAGGGGCTGAGAGTAACACAAACTTTTCCTCCTCCTGCCGCCGCCGCTGCTCCTCTGCCCCCTCAGCTAGTCCCATAATTTAAATAACCCTGATATTTCTCCCGCTAAACGCCTCTCCGCCGCCCCGGACCCCGGGAGAACTCACCGCGGGGCTTTAACATCCTCCCTCCGGCCCGTCCGCCGCCTTTACACCGCCCGCGGAATTTCTAATAATTTTTTTCTCATATTTCGGGCTGGACGCGGCGGGCCTGGAAATTGTTTCCTTA